GTCCCTTAAGACTTGGTTATGCCAGCAGGCCTGGGTACCCCAGGGGACGGGGGAATTAGTGAGGTAGCTCCCTTATTTTTAACTTCCTTTGTTCTCTGTTTTATTTTGTTTTATATATTTTTAATGTATTTTATTGTTTTTAGCTTTGTTGTATGCCACCCAGAGTTGCCTGTGGTGAGATGGGCAGCTATATAAATTGATTTAATTAATAAATAATAAATAAACTAGGTGGTGGATAGATCATAAGGGCCTGATCCTAGAATGTTCTCTCAACCTTGACTGAGTATGTTTTCCCCTAGTTATGACTGGCTGATCAGAAATTCTTAGGGTTGGAAGTTCCCTTCTAGAAACACATGGCACTAGCACCCTAAGACATTAGGGCAAACATATACATACATACATATATGCATACATACATACATACATATATTTCACATATATTGCATGCATATATATAAATTGGTTCAATCATTAACTGCATATAAGGTGCTCTTTCTCTCTCATGCCGACACCATCCCTATCAACTTCTATAGTTGTATCCATGGTTTTCACATTCAATAAAACTTATCACCTTTATGAATCTGCTTAGGAAAGATCACAAAACAAATGTGTCACTCACTGACTGGTGTCAAGTCCCGTGCAGGTGGACAAGACCAAGGATACAGGCATCAGTAAGATGGCTTTAAAGCTAGTCTGGAGTAAGTACCAAATCTTGGAAGCTGGAAGGGGAACTTCCCACCCTCACTTATCATTAGCCAGTGAAGATGGAATCTCTTTAAATACTTTGAAATGCTTCTTTCCTAATTCTTCCCCACTTGGCCTGAGTTGCAGTTCATAAGATAAGTTACTGTCTCTTGTTTATGTCTGTTTTCTCTTCCATTCCTTTCTCAGCCTCACCATAAACTCTCACAATTCCTAAGGGGTCAGATCTAAAGCTGTCTTACACTTTCCCTTCAGAATTCAATTCTCTCAGAGTTAAAGATCTCAGAATAACATTTTTTTTAAAAAATGCTTTTCTATGGGGTTTTGCTACCAGCCTTGTATCAAAGTGAAGATAAATTGTGCTTATAGAGAAAATATATCAAACACATTTTTTTTTCATATTCAGTTAAACCTGTTTGAAGGAGTTATACTTGTCAGCCTTCGAAGCTGTTCAGGTCAGGAAACAGACTCCACAAGAAGACTCAATTAAGCTTTATTGAGATATTAAGAGAAACTTGCAAGTCTGATTGTGTTGTTCCTCTCTCCCTTTTATACTCCAGTGAGTATAAAGGAGGAGCCAGCCTGAGTCTCTTCCTAACACTATCTCCTTTCACAGGGATCAAGGAGTGCTTCTGACCTTTTTGTTTTTGTAATGGCTTCTGAATATTTCCTTCAAAGCCATCTCCAAAATACAATCAAGTATCATGGGCCTTCAGGGATACAGTAACTCAGCCTCTCCTTATATTAAGTGTTCATACTCTTTCTTAAATTAGATTGTATATTTGTACAATTCAAATAATCACAATGGTTCAACTATAGCAAAATAACTACAAGCACAATTAAAATTAAGAAATTGAAGTCCAATGTTTCTAAAGGACATAAGATTGCAATAAGCTAAACCATCTCTGAAGATGAGCTTCTATCTCCTTCCTTCCTTTTATGAAGATGAGATACAGGTTTAATATATAAATTAGAAGAAATCATGCTTACATAATCCTTTTTAGTAATATTTGATCCTGGAGAATTTTTTTTTAAACCCATTCATTTGAAGTTAACTTTAGAGATGAGATGAGATATCTCCAATGCAAAAGATTAACTATTCTGTGAAGATGGCAAAAGGGTAACGGATAATGAAAAAAAGATTCTATTTAACTAATTCTATTTTGGATCAATTTTCTCTGAGATGAAGCTGTATGTTCCACTGGTTAATTATGAAGAATGGGCTGGAGGAGTAGGATTCCCACGTAAACTTTGTGAAACATAGGGCATAGGCCACATTCAGACAGCTGCTTTGCTGTGCTCCCTCCTTTTCTTGGGACTGGCAGAAAATCATGCTGCCCTAAGCCTTGCTACACCCAGTGTGTGCTCTTAGTGTACACCCTAAGAACATTTGTGTGCTGTGCTGTTGTCAATGCAGTTTTACCATGCAACATTCTAAAGACTGTACTTGATGGGTCCTTTGGCTAAACTTCCAGCCCCACTCATCATCCATCATGTGAAAAGTCTCCTTCAGTTGGCATACTAGTTACTCCATACTTTGCATTTTTGTTTTTCTTTTTCCTTTCCCATTGTAGCTTCCATGGATCAAACTTTTAAAAAATTCTTTGACACTATGGCTTAATTGATTGACTGTTCACCTACTGACCACTAGGTAACAGTAAAGAGTTGAGTTTTTTTTATATCTCTCCATTGCCATCTAGTGGTCATCTGGATTTGTGCAGTCACTAGAGAAGTGCTGCTGAAGAACTGAAGTTTGCCCTCACCCTAACCATAATCCTAACCCTATAGAAACTATGATTCCAGTCTCTCATATTGCCAAAAGAGAACTGGGGTGTGGGGAAAAGAGGTCAGGGACCAGATGAAAGAGGATGGTCCCACAGAAAACTGGCAGATTCAATTGGAATTACAAATTTGCCAACATGGAACATGTCATTTCAGGCTACCTCCTCCATGTGCATCAATGCGCCCTTCACTGCCTGCACTCAAAGACTGGAGGTGGAAGTAGAAGGAAAACATAACTTTCAGAGCGGAACACCTAAAGATGTCCTCTGGCTGCTTCAGCTGTGGGCAGAAGAGTGATACAGGTGGTGACACATGGGCATATCCTCTGGAAATGGTTAGTGGCCATCCTTGTGTTGGGATAAGGGGCTGTATGGATCTGCCCAGAGTCAGATAATACCTACTGAACTTAAATGAGTTTAGTTCTTGAGATCCAGATGGACTGCAGTCTAAGGAATTAAAGGAATTTGCTGACAATCTGACCAAATATATACCCATTGTCTTTGAAAACGCCTACAGAATGAAGTACCATATGATGAGAAGGCAAATGTTTTCTCTAACTTCAAAAAAGGAAACAGAAGTCTCCTTGAAATCTGAGAAGATTCTAGAGCAGATCATAATGTAATAGCTCTGCAAGCACCCTTCAAACAACAACACAATGATAAATACAAGACTTCATGAATTTCTTAAGAACAAATTTTGTCAGACTAAATGCATGTCATTTTTGTCAAAGAATTTCCTTCTTAGACTGGGGAAATGGTGAGGTTATTATAAATCTTGATTTCAGCAAAATATTGGGCAAAGTATCTCATGATATTCTGATAGCAACTTGTTAACATGGGCAGGGTAGCAGTTCTATTAGGTTGATACACAGCTGGCTTGAAAACCATATTCCCAAAATACTCATCAACAGTTCCCCAAAGACCTGAACGAGGCCCCATGTGGTGTATTGTAGGGTTTGGTCCAGTAGTTTTAAACATTTTCAGTAACAATTTGAATTATGACTTTGAGAAAATGCTTATCATATTTGCAGATCAAACAAAATGGCTATTACTTCAGAAGACAGAAACAACATTCAAAACAATATTGATAGGTAAGAGAAATGGACTGAAATAAAAGAATTTAATTTAACAAATATCAAGTTCTTCATTAGAAAACAGAATTCAAATGTACAAGTACAGAACAGAATGGGGAACATATAGCTTGGTAATAGTATGTACAAAAAGGTTCTTGGAATAATAGTTGATCACAAGTTGAATGGAAGTCAACAGAGGATATAACTGTTAAAAAAGGAAATGAAATTTGCTATTTCTATTCTATTTTGTATTGCTTAGATCTATTGTATCCAGTTTTGGCACCTCACTTTAAGACAGATTCAAAGAAACGAGAATAAGATGATAGGACAGAACGAGGATGATCAGGGGACTGAAAACTAAATACTTTGATGAGATACTGAGGGAATTATGTAAGTTTAGTGTTGAGAAAAGATCACTTAGGGGAGATGTGATAACACTTTTGAACTACCTGAAGGTTTCACACTGAACAAGATCAAGACTTGTTCTCTACTGATCTGAATGCAAGGGACAGAATAAGCATCCTGTCCCTATGTGTCAGTACACTGCATATATCTCCCAGTTGGTGAGATAGGAAGTGAAGTAAACTGGCCTGCAAGGTAATCTCTAGATTAGAGATCCATCTAGGCGTGCTACTGTCTTTTTCATGTAAACAAGTTCACTATATAAACTTTTGCCTTGCTTCTCTTAGTGAGCAGAACCTTGTATTCTGTCCCCTGAGCAGTTCAATAAACTTGGCTCAAGCAGACTGTGTGATCTCCACTCACCAACTGGGTTGGGGCATTTTCTTCTTCACCTGCACCACTGGTTTGCTCTAACAGAGCAAATACAGTTTCAGCTTCAAAGAGATTGAAAATGGATAAAGCAGAAAACAGAAATTCCACCTTGCCTGAACGGAAGTGCTACCTATTGGCGCAAAACCACCAATGCAACCAATCTTAAGCTTCCTGCTATCTTCACTCATTTTCCCCTCACTGTTATATCATTACTTTTTGGTGTTTTACTATGCAAGAAAGGCTTTCCAGATGTTTAAGTCCAAAATTACTGAGCTTTGCTGCCATGAGGAGATGCCAACTGTACTTCAAGTTTCATGATCCTGCTGTAACTAGACCATATGTTACAACAATTTTGCAACAGCTTGGCAAAACCTTGGCAGCAAGACCTTTGACAGACTTAGTTCTTTAAGATCATGGTGTGTGCATAATCAAACAGACAAACAAAAACTTAATTATGACCAAAGACCAGCATGGCATGTGCATCATGACAATAACATTAGCATACCTAAACTGATCAGGACACATTGTTGTTGCATACTGTAGAATCCATCCTACCTTTCTGTTTCTGATGCAGAGCCTTTTCTAGTTTGTTTTTGGGTGCTATATCTTTCCACCTTTCTGGAATGCCTGTGAAATGAGATGCCAAAAATATATACATATATATATATATATATATGAAAAAGGAAAGCAAACAATCCAGAAAATATAGATTTAGCATGATTTCTAGCAAATGGAAGTATGAAAACCAGATTTTATGAATGGCTAGTAATCATGGACTTTGGATAAAATACCATCCCCACAGTATTTTAATATAACTGATTCAGTCTTTTTGGTACAGATAACGCTAACCCTTTCAGACCAACTCTTTCTCAAGTGCTAAGCAATTCTAAAATTGATTCCATGGAGAACTTCCATTACTGGTTAAAATCCAGCATTAGGGATCTGGTATGGAAGTGAAATTCTCCTGGGTTAAAATTTAAAAAGATGCTTTTGTATTATACTTGTATGCAATATAAAAGAAAAATAGCACAATGTAATTAACAATGGTCATAAAAACAATGCTAATAAATTTGGGCAGTTAAATGTGATTTGTCACCTTTCATTAATCTAAACAACTACTACAACTATACATCAATATGCCATAGAAAAGACATGTGCATGTGGTAACTGTGAGACCTATTATATTCTTTGGCTATAGCTTGTAAACTAAACAATAAGAATGTGTGACTATTACATTTGGATATTCAATTCAAATAGATTTAAGCCCATCTGATCACAACCCAGCTGTGCCTTTGCTATATTAAACTATCAATATCTCATGCTCTATGGATGTTTTTAAGAGAAGCTTGTATCTATAGCCAGGCTGATTTCAGATTTCAGAATCTGAAAAAAAAAAAGAAAGAAAAAATTGGGTGGCAGCTTTTGTTGAGCTTTCTGAAAGTATTGCATTCGTTTAGGTCTTATACATTTTTCACCGACCACTGGTACTCAGAGCAACATTATATAGTCATAACCCTAAAATGACAGTTGAGAACAAATTAGGTGAAAACATTTTTATTCTTAAATCATAATAAAAAGAACCTAAGCCTGTAATCCACCATCAACATAGTCTTGAAGAAAAATTAGAAAGGTTTGATCTATTGTGATCAAAGGAACATCATTTGAAGAGCTGGCTAAATGTGATTTTCTATACACAAAGAGGGGCCTAAAATACATTATAATATCATTACAGGTCAGCTGTTAACTTTGGTTTTCATTCCACAGTCTAGTCCCAAGAGACATAATGCTACGTTTCAGAATCTTGATATTTCTCTTCAGAATTTCCGTGCAGCAAATCAGGGTTCTTGGGAGGGATCTAAGATTATGCATTCCTTGAAGCTTAGTACTGGGGTGACTGTATCCCTGTTCCTGGTTGCCTGATAGGTATGGTCCTCAGTTAACATATCCTCACTCTCACCTCCATTTTCTGTTACATTTCCTTGGTTTACTTCATGTCTTTGGTCTAAACTTTTTAATGAATGTTTTGCTTGTTGCATAGCCTGATGGTTTTTCATTTATGAAGCCCTCTTCAAAAGATCTGTAGACATTGGTTAGCTGTATTATCTACTACACGTTTTTTCTCTTTCTTGGGAAATCTGCAGCAGTGTTAGTGACTTTCTCACTCCTTCTGTTATACACTGTTAATAGAAGAGCATCTTGTATATGCTTTTATGGCAAAGAACTAGAAACAGCTGCAGGTTCATAAACTCCCAACATCCTTTAAAGATTTGGTCAAAGTCCAAATCTTAAATAATCTGCTGACCTGATCAGAAATGGAATCCAATAAAAAATGAAGATATTTAAGAGTCATTTGATGAAACACATACAGAGAGAGGGAGAGAGAGGTACACACACACACACAAAATGGAACTTTCTTAAAGGATATAGAAAATAACATTACAACATGTGACAGAGCTAGGTTATAAACTATTTAATATCTTAGTATTTAATTTCATGTATTATAAATGTGGAGCTGCAAGACAATTTTAGCAAGGATACCTCTGTATTTCTTCTGGATTAGCACTTAGGAGGCTTAAACTGTCTTGTTTTGGAATGCAAGACTCCGGCAGTGTTGTTCTTCACAAGTTTTGGAAACATGGAAGTGAAAGTTGAACAGAATGGATAGAAACAGATAGAAACAGAGAGATGGTCACATGCAGTGAAGATGGAGACATGCATTCAAGATACTTATATGACTTAACAGCATTCCAATATCACATCCAGCAACATTTCTATGCTCTTCTTTTCAATGTTTCTTAAGGAGGTTTTTTAAAAAAGTGATGTAATAATTGTTACAAAATAAAATGAAAAAACAGCAATAAACACTAAAGACAAACATATTCTCAGCAATAACACCTAAGAATATGCAGAAATTCAGAAATAATTTGGGAAAGGCCATTTGGAGTCCAGAGAGGCATGAATATAGCATCTATACGCATTTCATTAAAGCATAAATACATTCTGATCCTGGGAAGGGACATAGCAGCTTTAAAACACTGCAGAAAGGTGCTATATTCAAACTCGTATACATTCCAAATAAACTTTTTCAAATTATTTCCAAAACTCTACATAGCCTATTGACATCCCCCCCCCCCCCCCCC